AGATATAAGTTGTAAGGTCTCAGTATAGTTACAACGGCTGCCCCACCCTTCAAACCGAAACGCATTACTGCTTCACGGCAGAAATAGGCAGGGCGGTGGTACCTACCCGTGCGGACTCACAAGAGGTCCTACCACCAGTAATACGAGGTCCCGGCGAATAGGGGGCGCGCGGGGTATGTGGGACTTGACGATCTGCAAGGTGTTGGGAGCAAACCGCGGGCCCAAGGAACTTTAGGGCCCTACCCACTAAACGACTACCCTGCACTCTTCACCCAAGCGTCCGATCCCCTCAGAGGTCAAAACCCGGATGAGGTAGGGGGGTTACCGCAGTCAACACTGCAACCAGACAGCGCAGCTCACCCCAAGAACGCCCGGCCGACGGAGCCTTCGAGGCGAATCGAAGGCTCTGAAACGTCGGCCGTCTCGGTACGGCAGCCCGTCGGGCCGCCCAGACGGTGCCGCTGGTGTCCCGGAATACCCCGCTGGATCAGAACCAACCTGCCGGGTCGGGACGCGATACACCGCCAACCGGTTACTCTTTCCGTAGCGCGCCGCGCGGCCTCTACCCCCTCGGGTCCCTCCTTGACCTTCATCAGGGGTGGTCTCTGGATCAGGTACTAAAATACCCTTTTTTTTCTTCAAATAAGATGCCATTAAATGCGTCTTTGACCTATACTAAACTAACGACCGATACGGACTTAAATTGCCAGTAAATATTATTCAGTAATGAGGTCAATTAACTCCGGTTCACGATTTACCAGAAATGAAACCTAAATTTATTGCAATAAACGTCATAATACTAATTCACGATTCAGGTCGTGCGAACTAATAGCGGAATTGGAAAATCTAATGTTTATTATAATCGCGTGATCATTATACAGTTGTATATCAAACGTAATGGTGCACTAAGCCCCTAAAGGCCTTTTATTAATTTTAGCTTTAAAATCTAGACAGATTTCAATCTTTATTGAATGTGATTAAAGTGAGCGCTTCGGTTATGATTCGCGAACTATACAACGTTCTGATTGGTCCATGAGATGTTAAGTGCCTATTGAAAAATTAGTGTCAATATATTTCAAAATCGGCTTTCAATTTTTTCGTACATGTCCACGGAGAAATTGTAATTCTGTCATAGAATTCGAAGTCATCGTGGCCTAAAAGATAAGCCGCTGCGTATCTAGCGATGCGACTGAGCCGGTGTTCGAATCCCGCCGGCAGGTACTAATTTTTCTAATGAAATACGTTCTTAACAAATGTTCACGAATGATTTCCACAGTGAATTAAGTTAAGTAACCCTGCGCATTTCTGTCGTGAAGCAGTAACGCGCTGCGAAAACACTGTACTGTAAAACTGGAATTTAGAACCCACATCTCAAGATATATCCCGGCATAAATATTGACGTCTATGGACTCCAGTAATTGCTTAACACCAGGTAAGCCGTGACCTCGTCTATCCAGCTAAGCAATACATAAATACATGTAAGAAAAATTTAAAAATTCTTTTTTTTTTATTGCTTATATGAGTGGAGTAATGTAACTTATATTAGATTGTTAATAAAGGCTTATCTTATTTTATCTTATCTTATCTCATGACCACTCATAAAATAAGATAAGATAAGATAAGATAAGATAAGGAGGGCTGTGAGCTCGTGTGGACGAGTGATGATGTTGAGTGGTTACTGGAGTCCATAGACATTTACAACGCAAATGCGTCATTCACCTTGATATATAAGTTCTAAGTATAGTTACATCCATTTTCCTTCTCTAAGAGATTTCAAATGACCGTGTGTCATCAACACAACGACAGGTCCACCGATCTAGTTTGGCACGGATCCTGAACAAGTCCTATCTATGGCTGAAAATCAGACCTATCTACGCTCCCATCTTAAGCGGTACTGTACTTAGCCTGAATTCTAGAATATTCCCGTGAAAATATATTTTTTTATTTTGTTAACCGTCTTCGAATAGGGTAGACGAGTTCACAGTCCAGTTGATACGAAGTAGTTACCAGAGTTCTTTTACACGAGAGCATTACAAGCGGCACACATCTTGAGATACGCAAACTTTTCTTATCACACTTTAGCGGTATCAATAAGTAGGGTAGTGCCTGTACGGATTCAGAGCATATCATATCGCTTTATATTTTATCTATTTCTCTATCATATCTGATTATTCTATTTATTATAATATCTACTAGAGACACTTTATCTATTATATTTCTATCGTTAGTGACAATTACTAATCTAAAACTGTACTGAATAAACTTTTGGTCATATTTTTGGGTCTCTCTTGAATTACTTAAGAAATGAAGATCGTAATGATATAATAATGTTATGTCCCAAATTTTGGGTGCCGCATCTACAATGATTTTTTGATGGGATGCGGTGTCAAGAGAATTCGGGACCACGAATTTATCTTCCCATCAACACCAATAAGAATCTAATTGAACCTCAAAATATGCCTTATATTGCTCCCAAAGAAATTTCACTATATAAAGTGTTCTTTAAGTTAGTAAGTATAAAGAAGTATTAGTAGAAAATCCGAAGAACATACTGTCTCTTTTTTTTTTTACTTTCTGAGCTCTATTTTCGACTCCATTATACATATAATAATATGTTATAACCAAAATAATACGTGTATCCGGTTAAGCAGTTTCACCATTCGCGTTTCGTGTAAAATTTTCCTTACAAAGCACAAACGCGTGTGAGATAAAACACGTCTCGGCAACCTGACACTTGTAAGATTCCACTCTCGATGACAATGAAGAATTATACGTTATTTGTTAGGGAAAATTGTTTAGAAAATCCAACGTCAAAGGCGAAAGGTCGGATCTCGTTTTTGCAAAAAACAAATTGGGTTTTCTTTACAATTGGACGTTGGCCTCTATAAGAATAAGTCGTACCACCTTTGTATACATATGTATTTCATAAAATAGAGCCAAATGAAGACGCTTTATTTGAAAAATCGTATTTCCGACTTTTAGTTCTGATTCAGAAATAACTCTGCCTATTTCTGCCGCGTGGTCTATGTGTCTGAGACGTACAAAAAATATGCTTCCACTCCATACATACATCATGTAGCAAAAAACTATTCCATTGATATTAAGGTGTAACTTTGAAAAACTGTATAATATGATAATTATTTGGAATAAATAAATGAAAATGTAGAAGGCTTCGACAAAGTCAGTAACATATTTATTTTTTTGCTTATTTGGGTGGACGAGCTTACGGCTCACCTGATGTTAAGTTGTTACTGGAACCCGTGGACATCTACAACGTAAATGCCGCCACCCAACTGTAGACATGAGTTGCAAGGTCTCACTTTTAACAGTACAACGGCTGGCCCGCCCTTCAAACCGAAACGCATTACTGCTTCACGGCAGAAATAGGCAGAGTGGTAGTACCTACCTATGCAAATTCACAAGACGTCCTACCACCAGTAAAGAAAGTATTGCCATTTCGTACAATTCAACAATAACAAATAAGAAATTATTGTTCACTTTTACGCCACGGTGTTCAATTTTTGGTACTGATTCCTGATACCAGAACACGTGTAAGTTACGTGGCAATAATAATAATTGTTTTGAAAAAGACAAAAGAGGAAAGCCTTCAAAAGTACTGGCAATGAAATCTTACAATACACTCAGAACGAATTGCGATTGTAAATGAAAAACAATTGAAATAATATTTCTTACTTCAGTTAACTTTTTTCTGTACAATTAAGCAGAATACAGATAAGCAACATCAGAAGCTTACCTACGAAATTGCTATTCTGTATCTAAGTTTAAATATTCAATTGAGCTATCTATCTGTGGTGACAAGAAAGGTGTAAAGAATAATACAGATTCGCAATTGTTTTTCGTTTTTGTTAATAAAACAGAAAATAATATTAGTTAAATATTTAAAGATTCAAACTTTTGATTTTATTTAAGATACCACCATGCTGCCTCTTGTTATTGTTTGAAGTCGATTATCTTATCTTTCGAACTGTAAAATATAATTGCTTCTTAGAAATGAAATCATGCTTTTTAGAACAAAATTTCCAACTTGTTAAATACGTTGTAATGACTAATTACTTAACATTTCCTATAGCAAACCTGTTTTCCCGGTTCCTTCTAGGCTAATCTTAAAATTTTCTTATTTATTATGTTCAGGAAAAACGAAGAAGTATATTGTATACATAATCGTGCTCCAACATAATACATGACAAACGCCTTATATAAAAGTATTATATGCAAACGTGTCGTTAAAAGTGATAAGATTTTTGGATAACTTTTCGTGTGCACAATCGGTTAAAAATAAAGAAGTCTGTCCTCTTGAAGTCTGTCTTCGTGAACTTCAACTAAAATACGCTGTGTTTCCAATGATTATTTTGTCGAATTTAAATTTTTTAAACATTTTGATGATTATTCTATATGGCTATAATTACACATTGGTAGGATTTATTATGCTCCTACAGGTTGGTACATACATTATATTCGTTGAAATTTCGACCTCATGTCTCTCAAGATGCAAGTTTTGATGCAAGATGCAAGTTGGGGCTTGAGCGGGTCCTTCTAACTGCTTAATAACCAGCAAACGTTGACCTCATCTATCCGAATTCGGCCATAAAGTAGATAAGTATCACAAAAAAGGAATGGATGGATAGAGCGAAACACTTTTTTTTCTTCAAAATAACTAAATAGCAATCGTATTTTCAATCAATTTCAATCAAATTAACACGAGTGAAAAAAAAAATTTTTACAGTAAATTTAACAATGTTTATGGTCACAGAATTGTATTCTCATGAAAGACTTATCAAAATAATTCCAAGTAAACTATATTAATTTAAAAATCCAAATCAAAAGAACATCACCACCTATTTTTATTGATCTGCAACCTCATAATTTACACGTGAAAAAAGATTCATTAAATCAACATAATATTTCAAAAATAAACTGTATTATACACGTGCCAAGTGATCGGATGCTAAATCAATAGGGGTTCTAAAATCAAAACTTACCTTTAAAACAAACTTCATTAACACATCGTCACTAAAATATTAGAAACGTAACTACACACGACGATGGCCGCGGGACCGGAGGGCTGGACACGACCGTCCTCTCTCACGGTCGCTTATCGACTGTCACACAACACGACTTATTCTAAACACAGCGTGCTCCCGAACTGCAGTCACTACAGCGCAGACGCGAAATACAATTTTCCCCCAAAAACACAACAATTTACAACCTTAACCCTCTGTAATATGGACTATCGCGTAACGCCGAAAGCTACAGCTTCAAACGTTGTTCGATTTTGGAATTTAAACTTTAAATCGTCAGTATAAGGCTTATTTAGATGGTAAACCTCCTGATAAACGTTTAAAGAAAGTTGGGAAACACATGTCATAGGAAACTCAGTTTGAGGGAGTTTAATGAATGAATAAGCTGTGAATGATGCACTATAGTGGCTTGGGTTGAAATGCGGGCTTATTTCTCTGAGTACATGGTTAATTTTGGAGGTTCGAAATAAAATTTCAACAATTTGAATTTAGTTACATAATATGTTTAAATGTCATACACTAATAATAATAATAACTTATGTCTAAGAATACACTAAGAAGTTAACATTCAAAAACCCTCAAGTTGAATTGATCCAATCAATATTTTTTTATACGGCACGAATATGATCTTAATATCGCCATCCTACATGATCTCGCTGCGAATCCGTAATGTTCCGTCTTGAATTACCGTCATTCAAGACACTTGAAACTTCAACCTACGTACGTCTCAAGACTGCTTACAACCCTTAAATACTAATTAAAATATTCGTGCAATATCGCTAGACTAAATACTACTTATTAAATTAGGAATAGTCAAACTGAACTGTCGAAGAAAGTTCATATAGTTCTGATGTTTACGTCTTAGCTACGCTGCAGTGACTACGCCGTAGCAGGCGCTACGCCTCTACAATCGTCGACAATAATTTTTGGCTGCACGGCAAAGCTAAATGGGTTTCATAGAATTCAAGTAAGCGCCTTATTTCCGAAAGCACAAAGCTCATATTTCCATGTCAACTTTATTTGTTTTTCGTGATTTTCGGAATGCGAAAAGTTTCGTCTTTTCAGCCCCGAAACTACAAAGTTTCGAAAGAGCTATTGAGATGCAACTTCAAGCGCATTTAAGTTGAAACCATCTAGTATTGTTAGAATGAAATATGAAAATTGCTGTTATGAAATTACTATTAGCTTTTTTTATGTTTTAAGCTAGGTTGAGCGGACGAGCTCATGGTATATCTGGTTTTAAGCGGTACCGGAGATTAGACAACAAAGAGAATTCTAAAACCACCCCTTGAGACCTGAGGACGAAATCTCAATTGCATTTTTAACGACTGTCTCAATTTTCAAACTAAAACGCGTGGCTGCCTCTTAATAAAAATGTGTAGGGTTGCGATATCAATCAGTGTGAACTCACAATACATCGCACCATAAAAACTGTTTTCACAATGACTTCTCTTAAGTCGTTCGCTCGCCTGTCAGTATAACTCCGAAAAACTATTAAAGTTCTATGCAAATAACAATAAATTTAGAGCATAATTCTTTTTCGTTCGCGCAAAATTTAATCAACGCAACCCTATTTACTATTGAAGAAAGCAAGTGCGAAAAGTTAAAATAAAATTGAGTTCCGTACCCATTTCTTTACAAACTGCATCCCACAATTATATTTAGGATAACAATTTAAAAAAAAAAAAGAAGTAATCTGAATTTATAGTGAATTGTGAGTTCGCCCGGGTAGGTACCGCCACCCCGTCTATTTCTGCCGTGAAGCAGCAATGCGTTTCGGTTTGAAGGATAGGGTAGCCGTTGTAACTATACTAGGCTGCACTAAAAGTATCGGGAATGGAATATTTCCACTGTTCCTGTCATATTAAAATCTTTTTAATTGAAAACTCCTTGGTTTTAAAAATCGAATACCATTTATTTATTTAAAAAAAGATTCTCGGTCTTGTCACGAGGTTTTGTCAAACTTGTTTAGTCGTTGAGATAATGGAATTGACTCGAGAAAAATCAAGAGCGATGATTTATTATGACTTTCGAAGTGGTTTAACACAAAAACTCGTATTGAGACTTTAGAACTTATATCTCAAGATTGGTGGCGCATTAACTTCATAAATGTCTATGGGCTCCAGTAACCACTTAACACCAGGTGGGCTGTGAGCTCGTCCACCCAGTAAAGAACAAAAAAAAACAACTAACCAAAACTAAAGTTTTTGAGTCTCGTAACCCTAAAAATATTCCCTAGCGCTGTTATACCATCCGCGGGGTTCAAATTCACGCCCCTGCATCATGCTATCAGTTTAAATCAAGCGCGGTCTGATCTATAGTTCCCTTATGGGCCCCATTAGGACCCTATGACCGAGTCACCACCTCATTAACCCGCAGCGAGGGTGACTTTCATGGGGGATCCGAATTTATTACAAGATTAAACGGAGATAATAAAATTAAAATGTATGAGTGAATGCACTTGTTTAATCAATAATAACTAGGAAGGAGATATTTATTTACCTTCAACTATAATAGTTATCGGTATGTTATTAAGACTGAGAAAGAATTATTTGGGTGGTATCATTATTGTTCATAATACCGTAATGTACATCTTAACTTGAGCAGACTGAAACTGCAAACCTATATATTTTCTACATTACATAGCTAAACGAATTCGTGGTCTGGCTGAGTTAAAAAGCTATCAAAGCCCTGAAGTAATCATCGAAGAAAATGCGACAATCGACTTTAAAAGCTAAGAACAGAGTCTCCATATGAATTTAATAAAGCTGTGTTGCCATTCCAAGATTTATTTATTTATTGCATAGATGGGTTAACGAGCTCGCAGCCCACCTGGTGTTAAGTGGTCACTGGAGCCCATAGATATCTACGACGTAAATGCGCCACCCACCTTGAGATATAAGTTCTAAGGTCTCAAATATAGTTACAACGGCTGCACCACTTCAACCCGAAACGCATTACACAAGCGGTCCTACCACCAGTATTTCCTGACAGAAATATAGTAAGTCACTAATTACCAAGATTTTCTAATACACATTTAATGAAATTAAATCTCTTGAGATTTATAAAATAAGAAAATGCATATTTTAAAAAAAAATAATTAAAAATTCTTTCATGTCGTTAAATACTGAATTTACTATTAAAAGTAACTTAAAATTTACTTATAAATAGTGTTTCTTTTTTTTAATTTTGTATTATTTAATTTGCACATGTCAAACAAGAGGGAAAATAGGAAACATTTCGGAGGGATAAGAAGATAATTCTACTGTGCATCAACTGACTAAAAGATACTAACTACATTATTGTTACGCGCTGGGGTTCGGGATAAATAAAATTCCACCGAAGTATAAATTAAAACTGTATTAGCACTTAGAACACTTAAAACACTTTAAAATTCTCAATCCGCTTCTTCCGCTTTTGCTGTTTCGCTTCGAGTAGTTTTGATTACTAACTAATTGCGTGCCATCTCTGCAACGCTTTTATAGTCAAGACGAAATCCCTAGAATCGTCGAGTATATTCCACAAATTTCGAGTATTGTGTTTCCGTTATTATGACAATAGATGGCGTTGTACTTCTCGAGCGTTCTAGATGCTACTAGATCCTTTAATATTCGTTCAACTATTCGGCGATAGACGGCGTTACTCTTACCGGCGTAAAATTATTATAGCGTGCAGCAGAGAGCTGTGAGAGTCAAAGGTTCACTAACGTCCACATTCGGCACATACATCATTGTATATTATTTAAAACGAATGCATATGAATAGAGTGCGGTGTTCCCGCGGGTCGAGTTTCATGCAACGTAAAGATAGACCGCTGGCCGTGCTTCTTTTAATATTATATAGGACGGCTCATACGGAATGTCGCGATAAATTCTCTTAACTTGAATAATGCATTGGCGAAATACTTCAAAGATTTATTATGTATTTTACGGGTTTTATTGTGCAATACGCGTGAATTTTTATTATTTTAATTCTCGATAAGTCTCCTTTGGTGTTCAATCGTAGAATTTTATGTTTAATAAATTTTAAAGTTCGATCTCGGGATTAAAGCTTCAAGAAACCTATGATTCGAAATTTATGGTTAGGATTTTAATGATGTGAAAATAGTATGAGAGCACCTGTTTGTTAGGTATGTATTTTAAGTGTAGGGAGTATAAAAATTACATATTTTCATCTTAAGCGCGTGTACAGCCTGCGCCTTATCCTTTAAGCCACGACGACATAAGTCATTTATAATTTCTATCATCAACAATCGAAAAATCTGCAATGCTTGCTGAAGATACTGCCAGGGTTGACAACAACGATGAGCCCTGCGCTACCGGTAGGCAGCGGCTTTGCTCTGCCCCTGGCATTGCTGAAGTCCATGGGTGACGGTGACCACTCACCATCAGGTGGGCCGCATGCTCATCTGCCTACAAGGGCAATAATAAAATACCTTCACCCAGTTAGCTACCCTCGGCTTTTACCAGAATGTTAGTTCAGCTGCAAATCAAACGACATCTTCTGTTATTTAATTCTGAATTAAATTCAGATGAAATCGCAGACCATACCATGTCTAATTTGACATTTGACGTTTATTTGAACAAATGATAAATACTAAGCATTCAGCGCAGGTCTTGTTGTACGGAAAAATTTGTTTTGCTTTTCGTGTGACAGATGTACAAGCGCTCTCCCCATCTGATGCTAAATGGTAATCGAAGTCGATAGCCATCAAAAAGTAAATAAAACAAAACTTTTCGTGTACTAATTTAATGCAATTCATCTGTAGCGTTTTCAGTCGACAATTATGCTTTTTGCTTAAGTGGTTGAACGAGCTCACAGTCCACCTGGTGTTAAGTAGTTACTGGAGCCCATATACATCTACAATTTAAATGCCGCCACCCATCTTCAGATACGAGTTCTAAGGTAAGTTACAACGGCTTCCCCGACCTTTGAACCAAAACGCATTACTGCTTCACGGCAGAAATAGGCAGAGCGGTGGTACCTGCCGACCTGCGGTCTCACAAGACGTCCTACCGCCAGTAAAGAAAGTACTAAAATTGCCATTTCGTACAATTCAAACAATAACA